CCCCCCCCCCCTAACAATGATGAATCTACAGCCTCTTATTTTCTCGTGAAGTCTATGGATCAAAAGCTATGTAACGGACTAAGTTTCTGCTTTAAACCAGCTGATGGGACGTGCAAAGGAGCATCACATCAGTTTCCTTTCTGCCGATTACAGTGCCTGAAGAGTTCATTTATGGCCATATAAGCAATTCGACGAGCAGCGGACAGTCAACAGCAGAATCCACTGGGAGGGGATTATGCTCATCTTGATACAACCGATAGACATCACACTGCTCAGTGGTATCCGAAAGGGCACGTTGACTATTCAAACAGCCTTGGTATCGTTAATATCTATGAACATATTCCTGCTCCATTTTTCTATTGCCAGGTGCACTCTTTAAGAGTTTTAATCAAAAGATCACGCTTCTCAATTCGAAAAAAGTTTGGACTGCATGAACAATCGTTAGTGAAACAACCGTCCGGCTTGAACAGCCAATGATGAAACAGATTCCATTCTGTGTTGATCAGCGCCTTGTTTTGTCAGCCAATACGCACCGTCTCTTCGACCCCACATTGCCACCTGTCCCATTTAAACAACTTCCCGTCCTGCACACGGTACTGGTTCAGCAAAATAGTCATGTCTGGTCTGTAGAGTTCGTACTTAGGCGTGAGGCGATTTTTTCAGAAAGACCTACCTTATTGCTACTGTCAATCATGTACAGTACATTTGATTCTTCCATTCCATCTATTACCATAGCTTGTTTTTTGCTCACAATTCTGAAAAAAAGAAAACAATGCACAAATGTCTTGGAAAACTCTCCCAAGAAAGCGAAACAAAGATAAAATTCAAAATAATACCCCATTCCCGGAAACTGTCCATTACCGTCTGACGAAGCAGCAGCAACAGCAGCAGCGGTAGCATACACCTAAAAGGACACATTAGTGAAAAGCGCTTTCTAGGTATATCACTGGCTTGACAAGAAGGGAAATGCTTTGAACTCTAATCATCTACATACAAATTTTATCACACGAATGATTGACTAAACGGATGGGTTATTCATAGATGAGGGCGAATAAGCGTCCTGGTATACGAGTAGCCTTTCCCCAGTCGCAATTTAGGATTTTTTTACATGCTGTCGCCAAAAAAAAAGCAGCAACATCCCCAGCAACCATTTCCAATTCCTTATTCGACTCGAAAATGACTTATTTACATGATACATTACTTACACTTCTAATTAATTTTTTCAATGCCTATGCGAAGACGTGATTAGTATTTTCATACCAGAATAAAGAATTGAAATGAACTCAGGAACCTCTTGTGAAGTATCCCTCGCGCCTGTAACCATCTGACCAACAGGATGTTCGCCGCTTCTCATCCGCAGTTTTTCCTTCTTCTTTTTTTTCTTGTTCTTCTTCTTCTGCACAAAAATCAAAATTTGGAGCCTTTTCATTTGCAAATTAAAATCCTTTTCAAAATGTATTACCCTTCAAACTGGCAGGCAATTAGCACGTATTATTTTACAACAGTATTTTTGCCACCACTACACCGTAAAAGAATTTTTTATATGCGAGTTTTTTAGTTCCGGTGCAACTGGCTTTTTATCAGGATGCACTGATGCCAGTCAACAAATCACCACTCCCCAGGAACTGAATGCGATACACCTGGACAAATCAATTTTTTAAAGCATACAGATGTTTGTTTCACAGCAATCCGAAAACTGCTAACTGAAGGAGATCAGATCGCAGGCATAATGTAATCAATCCTTCAAATTTGGGCAAAACACGTCATCGAAAAAGAGCATTGAATGAAGCCAATTTACAACAGATCGTGGTTTTTTGCTTTGTAAGCATTGCAAGCCAGCTTATTAAGTTCAACGATTAGAATTTGCATCAAAATTCAATGTTATTGTAATTTCCAGGATGTTTCCATACGCTAACGTTCAATGTACTTGCACTGTCTCTCCGAGCTGTTGCACAAACAATCATTTATTCACCGAT